GATGATGAAATATTTAAATTTCTGGCATAGTCTCTTGATGACAAAATAATCTCAGTAAGATTGTACCAGAAAACCCAGGAGACATATACATGTTACCACATGTAAGGAAATAATATTTATTTACAGGATGTTTTTCAAATCACAAGTGCCTCCTTTGTTTTTAGAATGTTGTTCTTAAAATTTCTAGAACACTCTAAATATTCTTACGAATTCATTCAGAAATGAAAGTAGAGTCTAACATCTAGCCAGAACACTACAAATTCAACCTGTAATTTGAGCAAATGGGAATATTTTGCCTACAGTTCATTTTTTCTAATTTTTTATAGCAGTAATGAAAGACAATGGGTAACTAAGCATATCAATTAGCTTCAGCAAAAACTGAGCATAAAGAATTTAACATCAGACATGATGCATCAACCATTCGTAAAAGATGCCTTTAAATTACTAACTTGAATGGCCACATTTGGTAAACTTTCATGTAAAAAGTCTCCTTAAGGGACAGGTTAGATGTGTAGTATAAGCAAAATAATCATCTTAATAATATATTCAGAAGGGAAACTATCACATTTAAAGGTCAAGCAGCTTTCATTTTTATTTTTAAAATATGTTGTATTCTTTGTAATAAAATAAATTGAATCATAGTGAATATCAAATGTACACTTACAGTTACACAAAAATGCCAAATTATTTCAAAGCAGAATTTTTTAACTTTTGGAAAAGGACTGATCAAAGACACCTTTGAAAATTTAACAAATGTGATGATAAACATATATACAAATTTTTACATAACAGATTCTAGGAATACAATCACGAATTTTTAGAAATTTAGCTACACTGTTTAGGCAAAATTTAGGCAAAATTTTCTGGTTATTAAATTTTAATCTGAAGGGTAACTGACATATCTGTATAATCAGGAAACATAATAATCAGTTAAATTCAAAGTAGCCTTTTCTCTGATCTGAATAAATTTGAAAATAAAATTCTTTGTGTGTGTGTGTGTGTGTCTTTTTCATTTTTATTGGTACCGGGGATCGAAAATAAAATTCTTTTGATAAATGGAGCATTATATTCAGAAGAGATTAATTCAAAATGCTAAGAGTTGGACCACAGATCAGCCAGGGTTTGTTCACACAGATGGGAAGGACCAGACATTCTGGATTTGGGCCTCACGGGAGCCAATCTGATTTCTGAGGGTGGACTCTTAAAACACATAGTACTGCCTTTGACAGTGTCTGCAACTCTGGGTGTTCATGTCTCCTCTTGGAGTCAATTCCTGCAGCATCCAAATAGAGTTATGGTTTAGATAGGTGTCACACAAACGTCTCATGCTGCATGTAGAACAGTGTAGCTGAAACACAAGGAAAAATTCCCAAAGATGATGAGTGATTGTCCAGGTTAGAAAGCAGAAGGATAGCACATTGAGGATATAGGTAAATGGTAGAACATTTGCCTAATGTGTTCGGTTTAGTCACAAGTACTGGACAAAAGTTGTGGGATAGTCCATCATTTAGAGTAGCACATACAGAGTACAAATAACTAAAAACAGAACCTCACAATCACGACAGTAACATCACTGACGGAGCACAAGCATGTGGTGGGTGGAGCATTTGCTATGTGCTTAGGGTTTGGGGATTCAATGCAGTAAATGCAGGAAACTACAAGTTTAAGAAAGGTTAAAAGGACAAGGCAAATTAAGTCAGCATTTTCTTTCTTTCTGTCTGTCTGTCTGTTTCCTTTTCCCTCCTCCCTTCCTCCTCCTCTCGTTCCCCTCTTCCTCCTTCCTAGCACTTTTCTTTCTCTTCTACCTCTTCTCCTCCTCTTCCTCCTTCTCCTTCTCCTCCTCCTTTCTCTGCTTCCCTCTTTTCTTCTCCCTCCATCCCCCTGAATTTTACTCTATTTTCTAACGCTAGGAAATGAACCCAGGGCCTTTGCACTGAGCCACATTTCCAGCCCTTTTATATTTTGAGACAAAAGTCTCACTAAGTCTAGTGACTGCCGAGGCAGGGCTCAAACTTGCAGTTCTCACACCTCCGCCAACCAAAGTGCTGAGATTATAGGCAGGTGCCACCACTCCTGTTTCAGTCAGCATTTTCTTGAGAAAGAATTCATAAAAATCCACCGGTTTTCTCATTCAGAGAAAGGATGGACCTCTCAGGCATAGAGGTAACTTTCTAAATAAGTTAATCTTCTAAGTCTGGTTCTGAAGTAATATGATCTACAATTATATGCCAAGAGTTAGGTGTATTCTCTTGCCTCATTTCAATTCCCTTAAATCAGTAATTCTCAGAGGGGAGGTGTAATTTTTTCAGCCTTTCTGCCTATCAAAGATTGCAGAATGCCCCACTGGGGAATAGGCATACCAGCTCACCCTCACCTCCCACACAGTTAAAGCCATGTTATACTGAGAGTGTGTCTTATAGCCCTTGGGGAGTGAACAGTGAGGACAACATTAAGAACACCTTCATTGATTACCACAAACACTAACTCTCATCCATTCATAACACCACAGGGCAAGTGCACGGGTAACAGACAAAGAGGAGGCCTGAAGACCTTCTGACACCATAATAAAGGCTCATCATAATAAGCCTTAGGAAGAATTGTTCTCCACATTGTAATGATCTGCAAGATGGTTAAGCAGTTATATAGCATCTTGATATAGGATACAGATACAAGGCAAACAACTCTGTAAAATCACAAAGCTTTACATTTTAAACCAGTGGGAGCTCTTCAAAAACTAAAAGGGATCGCATCATGAATAACATAAACCTTGGACAAGAACATCCTTCAGGTTGTATTCACTGGTAAGTGTGCATATCATAGCATTTTAGTCATGATTTTCATAAATTTTTGCCCAATCTAACTTCATTCTTTAGGATAGTACCTTGCTCCTGGTTATTTGCAAGGACAGATCTTTCTAGTGGCTGCTTTTGTGTCATTCTGTGATTCAGTGGTTTCCCTCAGATAATGCTCATTAGCATCAAAGATATCAGAAAGTTTCTAAATGAATCTTCCTTTATCAGAGAAAAAGTGATTTTGGGGTTGGGGACGTGGCTCAGTGGTAGAGTTCTTGCTTTGCACACCCCAGGCCCTCAGTTCAATTACCAGCACCGCTTGCCCCCAAAACAAAACAAAGCAAAAAACGATTCTTCCCTCAAAAATGATCCCACTCAGTTTCTCAGTTAGTGAGAGAGATAATGAAGAGAACAGAGAATGCAGGTTTCCTGCTGCTATTCCGTTGCTTATTCTTTGACGTTTTCTGTTCTCAACATTCAGTGGAATTTTAAATAGCATGATTCCAGTTCCTCTGTACTCACAGCCACATTCCTTTTAATGACTCTGGATGGAGTTTCTGCCACTGATAACTCTTTGAAGATCTTTCTTGCAGCGTCCACACTGCAGACAATGTGAGACCAGCATATTCATTTGCTCATTCATTTACTTAAGCTTTTTTTGAGAAGCAAAGTAGTTCCAGATTCTGGGCTGGGCTTGAGGAATTCAGGGTTGAACGACAGAGTTCCTGTGTTAGAGGAGCTCATATCTGCTTGGGTAGGCATGGAAAAAAAGCAAGCCACAGGAAAGCACATAGAGTGTAAGGGCTAGGGACATGTTCATGACCAGACTGTTAGATGGGAGAGTAGCTCATCCAGCCTAAGGGTCGTGGTTGAGGAGAGACTTCCTGCAGGAATCCACACCACAATTGGATCTTGGAAAAGGCATTAGCCAGATAAAGGAAGGAAAGTGGGCTTTAGGCAAGGGCGCCTGTAGGAGCAGGGAACTTTGGGGAACATGGCAACAGTTCTTTTAAGTAGAAGTGGGAAGTCAGAGAAATTAGGAGCAATGATGTTTGACAGATTTTATCACGTCTTGATGTATTGAAGATTGTTCAAAAGAAGTTGTATTCTGGAGGTTTGTATGGAGCTGATGTGGAGATTTCCTCAAGATGCTAAAAACTTACTTTATTATGCAATGGGAATTTGGAAAATGAAGCAGTGCTTGGAGATTACTAATTAATCCAGGAGACAAGAAACAAGGGTCTCTCAGCCCAGTAATACACAGCTATGCTGAAATACTCATTTACTGCTGAATGTTCTTTTCAGCTAAATTTGTGAGAAAATCTTGAAGTATAATTGTTTTTTACCTAGTTACATTTTCTAAAAAGTGTGCACTTTCTTTGCTTAATTGGGTTGAACTGGTCTAGGTTGTTCACCATTTTTTTCTGTTTATATTTAACCAATCAAGAAAGCCTTTTTACCCTGGTTGTATTTACAGGTAACGTTTCAAGGGCTGATTTAAATTTCTACTAAGAAACAGTGTGTGTGCGTGTGTGTGTGTGTGTGTGTGTGTGTGTAAAATCTTAGTTGCCACCAACTGATTTGGTCACATTTAGCATGCAGATTTTTAAATCACTTTATGAAATGTCATCTCTCTCTCCTTCTACCCCTGCTCCCACACAGGAGTTTCTAGATGCGCTATGGGGCTGCGCAGCTCACAATTAAGTAACCATACATATTGGGTGAAGGAAACATTTTTAAAAGGGGTCTCTGATAAATTTTTTGACAAATATTTAACAAATCAGCAGAAATAATAAGATAATAACTCATCTACAAAGAGCAAAAGAGACACTACTTTTTTTCAGTCTTTAATAACTGTTTAAGATAAAAGCAAAGAAAGTTCTTGAGCTGTTTTTCATCATACTAATGTTTGAAGTGAAACTAAGGTTCAGCCAGGGCCAGGAGTAGGCAAAGTGCAAATCGGCCAGCTCTTTAGAAAGAACATCTCACTTTATGTTGCACCGAGTTCTGTGCCCCTTCGTGTCACAGATCACGCAGGTGTCAGCAATAGTATCTCCCAAAGTGTAGACGGCTGTTCCCTCATAGACTGAACACATAAGCGCACGCATCCCCTTTGGCCTGGCCTCAAGCTCCATTGTACAGTCCTGTCTACCTTTCCAGGAGCCCCAGGCCTCTGGTGCTACCCTCTCCCCTCTCCTGGATACTCACAGGGTCTCAGTCCAGGGCGGCAAGGTGGGAATGAGGTGGATACCCTTGCAGGTGACTCTGAAGTCGTCCTCCTGGTGGCATTCGCAAGGTGGAGACAGACACCCCTTGTCCGCCAGGCTGCCGGACAGGGCGAGCAGCAGTGCCAGCCGCAGCAGCAGCTCCGGCCTCATTTTCCACGGCCCCCCACGCTACTTCTCCATCGCGCGCGGCAGCCTCATTCCCTGCCTCTGCGCGCCTTCTGTTCTCCCGGGCTGAAGCAGCCGGCAGCGGGAGGGGCGCGGGGAGGCAGGGCCGGGAGGGCTGTGACCTCACCACCGGAGCGGAGGCTGGAACGGGAGAAGAGGCTCTCAAGTGCTCCGCTTCCCTAGGCAACTTTCCACGCAAACAAGCCAGTTTGCTCGCTTTCCTTGGCCCGAGCCACGCTGCGCGCTCAGTCTGTTCCCAGACACCCAGCGCCTGCGGGCGGCGGCCCAACACGTTCTTCCAATGACTTTTCCCCAAACCCTCTTTTAGACACTTTTCCTTTCCTTTCAACTCCCTGAGCCACCTTCTGCGGTGCGCAGTCTTCTGCAAAGGTTGCAGCCCCAGCATGCACCCCCGCGCACTCTATCCACACCGGGTCCCCGAGGAGTGCACTGTTCCGGGGCAGACCACTGTGTACCCTGCACGTTGACCTCTTCGGGCCAAAGACGTCCCCTCTGAGAGACGAAGGGGAGCACAAGGGCAAGCCAGCTCCAGGTGCAGCCGAAGCCAGAGCGCCACAGCCCTGGTGGATCTTCTCTGCGGGCCAATTTGAGCGTGCATCGGGATCGCTGCACGCCAGGGCTGCGCTCTGCAGGAATCGCCGCAAGGAGTCGCCAGGCGGCGCCAGGCTCACTGTCCAAAAGACCCACTCGACCAGGAGCTGGGCTCTGGGGCCATCTGCTGTGCACAGCCGGAATCGCAGGAACAGTTCTGGCGCCCCAGTAGGTCTCTAAATCCAGCTTTGCACTGTATCTTTGAAGACAGTCTGGGAATCTAGATTTTTCTGGTTTGTCTAAAATTCTTATTAATTCAAATAGCATTGCCTGAAAAGATGAGACGAAAAAGAATACTCAAGCCCACATGATCAATTGTTCATCGTTCTCACACTAGTCAAAAAGGCCCATTACAAATACAGACCAGATCATGCCAATTTCCTTCTTTCAAGTTTTCAGTTGCTTACTAACTCCTGTTAGGACAAAAGGAATATCATCTCCATATATATGGTGCAAGTCCTTTTGCATGAAATTCTGAAACTGGGGACAAGTCATGGTGATGGAAATCCTAGTGGAAGTTAAAGGGAAATGACTATAAAAAGCAGAGAGCACCCAGGGGTTCAATATTTTAAAATAGAGGTTAAGAGAATACACAGATTATTCCTCATTTAAGGACCGGATCGCGCTGTTCTGACTTATGACTTGCTGCTGGGACTTTTACTCATCTTTTTCTTTCTTTTTGGGGGGAGGATGTGGTTCTGTATTGGTAGAGCTTCAGTGGCTTGTTTGGGGAGAGGATTCGGTTCACTGTGTTTATACAGTACCATAACTTTTACTGATTGCACTGTACAGTACTGTAGTTATCGATTCTGTTATACCTTACAGTACTGCAAGAGTTATGCAAACAAAAGCAAAATCAACAGGATGGAGTTTCTTTTGACCATTTCTATAGTCTGAATATCATAATATACTTATATACAATTCCTCATTTGTCAACCAACTCATCTAATGACTTTGGGGCAAGAACATGTATGGATATACAGTGAAAGATTATTCTATATTGAAAATGAATGAAATGTTGATTCATACAATGCATATTAACCTTGAATGCATAAACCTAGTGAAAGAAGCCAAACTCAAGAGATTATTTATATGTAATGTTCATATAAGTAGGATTTATATAACATTCTTCAAAAGACAAAGCAATGAGGACAGGAAACAAACCAGTAATTGCAAAGGACTGTGGTTCAGAGGAAAGTCTAACTACAGACTAGGAATTTCCTGCAAGATGAAACTTTTCAGTCTTGATTGTGGTGGTTCCATCGTAATCTGTAAATGTGGTAAATCACAGTAAATGAGTTTAGAAGTCAAATCACATTGCATTCTCCATTTGATCATAATATATCTATTATCTTTTGTAATTTTTATTTTTATTAATACATTTGCAACACATCATGCCTACATTCATCTTAGGGAGACAGTATGTGCATATAACATCTTAATTCTTTTTTCTCTCACTTCTTTTCATCTTCCTTTCCGTTTGTCTCTGGTTCCCTTTGCTTTTGCAAAAGATCTAATTCTCTGTTTATTATTTTTTAAAAACATTCTTTGATTAGATTTTGTGAAATTCCATTTAGAAGATTTGCAGAGATATTCACAAAGAATAGTGGTTATTGTTCTCCATAATTTATTTGTCTAGTTTTGACATCAACATAATTAATTTTTCTGTCATAGAATGAGTTCAGAAATATCTCTTCATCTTCAAACTTTTATAAAAATTGGAATTTCTTTCTTTATTACAATATTTGGTAGAATTCACCAGTGAAAGTATCTAGATGTTGATTTTTGCTTGTAGGGATGTTTTTAACTACAAATTAAGTTTCAAAAAATAAATATAGTGCATTCAGGTTATGTCAGTCTTCTTGAGGCTGCTTTACTAGTTTGTGACTTAAAATGAACTTGTCCATTTACTTTAAAGTGTTGAGTTTATTGCCATAAATTTGCTCATAATATTCTCTTATTCTATGTTTCGGTTACTTTTCTCTTGTTGCTGGAACAAAACACTGGACTCCCAAAATGAAGGAAGGAAAGGTTTGTTTAGCTCACTGTTTGTGGAGGTATCAATCCATAATTGGCTAGCTCTGAGGCAGGGTGGCATGGCTCTGGGGCAACACTTCAAGACAGCAGCCAGAGCAAAAAGCAGGAAGCAAGTCTCTTTTATTGTACAGAGGCCACCTGCCCCTGCCAGGGCAAGTGTAACACTTACCAAGTCTCTGTGCCCTCCTCTTGCACAGAATGAGGATATTTATGAAATAAGAACCCTGGCTCCTTGTTGAGTCTGTCAATTAAACTTTAACTTCTCAAGCTGACCTAAGATATCAATCATAACATTCTGTTTAAGCTATTCTAATGTCAACTCCTTTATGCTTAATAACTTTTTCCTGATTTGGTATATTAAGAAAATTTTTAGTATTCTTAAAGAAGCAAATTATTGTTTTATAAATTCACTCTTCTAGTTCTAGTTCATTGATATATGCTCTGATCTTTATTAATTCTTTTCTTCACCTATTTGGGGTGTAATTTGATCTTTTGTTAGTCTCTTAAAGCGAGACTGTGAATATTAGGTTATTGATTCAAGATCTTTTTTCCTTTTAAAATCTTTTCATGTACAGTATCATAGAATTGTGCCACATATAAGCTCGCAACTTTTGATATATTGTAATTTTGTTTTCATTTAGCTTAAAATATTTAATTTTTCTCTTTGATATCTTTATTGCTTTGGGTTATTTAGAAATATATTTTTTGTTTTCCAAATATTTGGGGATTTTCCAGATACTGTTCTATCATTTACTTTACAATTAAATCCATGTACACAGAGAAAAGTTTGCATAGTTTGAAAATTTTTAAATTTAGTGATAGTAGATTTTTTGTTTTACTCAGAAATGGTCTATTTTGGTAAATGTTCAGTGTGCCTTTGAAAAAATGTTCATTCAGCTATTGTTGGGTGTTGTGCTTCATACATACCATATTGTTAATTTGTTAATAGTGTTCAAGTTTTCTTTATTTTTGCTTTTCTCTATTTTTAATATCAAATATTGAGATATCGGTACTGAATTTTTTTACTATGGTTGGGTATATGTCTTTTTTCTATATCATTTATGTCAGATTTTACTTCACGTATTTTTAGTTTTGTTTTAAGTGCATAAATATTGAGTATTTGTATTTTCTTGCTGTAATTTATCATTATTAAATAAATTTTATTATACTTTGTAATATCATTTAATATTTAATCTACATTTTCTGTTATTGATAGGCCAGTCTGGCTTCTTTTGATTAGTGTTACCATGATAAGTTTTTTTCATACCTTTTCTTTCACCTCTTTGTCTGTATCTAAAGCCTATTTCTTGTAAATAGCACTAAGTCAGACCTTGCTTTCAGTCTGATAACTTGAGTTGTGTAGGTCATTTTCACTTAATATCATTATTGCTATTACATTTAAGCTCATAATCTTGCTATTGATTTTATATTTTTTCCACTGTTTTTGATCCTGTTTTCCTTTTATTAAAATCACTATTTGGATAAATTCAGGAATTTTTATGTTATCATTCTATCTACATGGTTGACTTTTAGCTATAACTTCTGTTGTTATAGTGATTGTTTTGGGGTTTTGTGTGCATCTTTAAGTTATTAAGTCTGTTTCTAGCTGGTGATGCACCTTTATGCATGATTTAAAAGAATCCTACAAACATGTCTTCTCCTGACTAAACTTTAAGCTTTTATTGCCCTGTATTTTGCTTATATATAAGCTATAACCCCACAAAAGTGTTATCATCTTTAAGATGAATTATCTTTTAAAGAGAGTCAAATAAGTCACTCTTTGTGGTCTTCCTTATTCCTTAGGGTCAATCTTTATGTGTCACTGATGTTATTTTTCTTTATGCTTGCAGGACTTTTATGAACACCTCCTGCAGTATGTATCTGCTGTCTATAAATTATTTACAATTTTGTATATCTGAAAATGTGTTAATTTTGCTTTCTTTCTAAACAATGTACCATTGCATAATACTTTAGGTTACTGTGTGTGTGTGTGTGTGTGTGTGTGTGTGTGTGTGTGTTGTGTGTGTGTGTGAAACTAGGGGTCGAACTCAGCCTTTATTTTTTTAAATTTTGAGACAGATTTTCACTAATTTGTTAAATTGAACAGGTTAGGCTGAAATTTGAAGTCTTCCTGCCTCAGCCCCACCCTGTGTCTCTATCTCAGCCATCTCCAGACCTGGCAAGCATCTTCATATTTCTTGTACATAGAGGATTTTGAGATTCTTGGATCTGTGTGTTTATAGTTTTTATCAAATTTGGGAAAAATTGTAACCGTTTTCTCTATATTTTTTCTGTTTCTCTATTTCTCTTTCCTTCTGAGAATTCTAATTATTACTCTCATATTAGGTTGGTTGAAATTTCAAAAGACTTACTGAAATTTTTTCTTTGAGAAAATAATTTTTCTGATTTTAATTTGTATAGTTTTCCCTACTATGTCTTCACAATCAGTTTTTTTCTATTTGTGCAATATTTAATATGCTAA